GCTATGATGCATGAGCCAATCAGTGTGGGGAGTAGAGCCGCATGCTCAATTAGCCAATAACACACCGAGTACGCATTGCATTAGCCAATAATATGCCGTGTACGATCTCGTCTAGAGACCATCAGTGTTCGTTCGCAAATGCGCTTATCTCAATTTCAAACCTTTCGTATGTTTAATTATTTTAAAATGTCTTTTAGTTTTTTTTTTGCTATATTTCGCGGTATAGCGGACGTTTTGCGACAACCTGAAGTGCCATCCATCCATCTTCAACCGCTTATCCGGGGCCGGGTCCCGGGGGCAACAGTCTGAGCAGGGACACCCAGACTTCCCTCTCCCTCGACACTTCCTCCAGCTCTTCTGGGGGGACCCCAAGGCGTTCCCAGGCCAGCCGAGCGACGTAGTCGCTCCAGCGTGTCCTAGGTCTTCCCCTAGGTCTCTTCCCAGAGGGACGGCACCCGAGCACCTCCCGAGGGAGGCGTCCGGGGGGCATGCGATGTAAATGCCCAAGCCACCTCAGCTGACTCCTCTCGATGATGATTGAAAATCATACAAAGAAAAACTGCAGAAGATAGAGGTGCCTCTGTCAGCAGATCTCGCAAAGGTATAGCGTCTTAGTGTAGATCATAACAATAGTGATTTGTTGTTACACTTGTGAGTTGTTACTTGTCCTGGCAAGAGTCACATTGTGTTTTGTCTTAAGTTGGGGGACCAGAACAAACACTGTGCTGATGAAGACACTGTCCGTGAGAAGATGAAAGCTACCTTCACTTATCGCCAAGCAATAGTCAATGATGAAAGCAAATCAGCAGATGTCTTCTTGGTTTTCCCACATTTTCTGGACACACCAGGACTTGTACAACATCTTAATTCAATTATTTCATGGCAATTCCCAGTATAGCCACAGTGCAGTAACTCCCATTGTTACTCTTTGTTTGTATGTGTCTGTGTTACAGATTGAGCAAGATTTCAGACTTCTGTTTGGAGAGACCACTGCCAACAAATTCTTGGAGAAGTGGCCAACTTCTTTCAAAGCTAAAGTAATAATGGAGAGTCATCGACTTATACCCTCTACAGAACTCTTGGATTTGATGCACAGTGCAGAGTCAGCGGCTGAAGTTGAGAATGGTACGACATTGTTTACTTGATATTTCTGATTGCACACGTGTGCAGTGCCCTTTTTGGTAATGGTGCAACCTTTCAAATGAATATGCTATGATGTTAACACATTTTTGGTTTACATAACAAGTGACATGTCTACTTTTTTGCTGCTGCTACATCTACTGCCACCATCTGCGCAAGGTCGAAAGGCCAGGAAAGATGTTTGCATCTCAAACTGTACATCAGCTCATTAAATTTCAAAAGGTTTGTTAAAAAGTTGAATGAATGAATGAATTTTTCTTTACATCAATCTCACACCTTTTGAGATGTGATCAAATGTAGTCTAATCAGATTTTACTCACCACAACTTATGTTGAATGTCTTCTGTCACAGACTGGAATCAGTGTGCAGCAGCATTTAGACAACATCCCCCTTAGCAGCCAGTCCTACCTTCTTGCAGTGGGAACCACACCAAGCAGCATTCACCACTACTTCATTGTGATCGACAAGCATGCACTTCCTTGCAAGGCAACTGGTTCTGTGGGAGTCTTTGACAAACTCTTGAAGGCCCATTATGTCTTTGGTATGTCATACAGTTCCTCCTTGACCAACTTTTTCACTTTTGTGCAAACTACAAAAGACATGGGAGAAACATAATGGGCTCACTTACCGCCCACATTTGATTGTGTGTGGAGTTGAATCTAAAATGCCCTTGTTTTTTGAGTTTGATTATTGTATTGTTTTGATTATTGTTCTGATTATAGATGGAAAACTGTAATTGCTTACTGTGCCTTTAATTACAGTTACTTGTCAAGAACATCTCCATGCATGTGAAGTGAGAAAGCATGATTTTGTTTACTTTCATGTGGACAACCTGCAATATCCTAGGCCTTTTGACCTACAAAGGTAATGTAGGGTGATTAACTCTTCCTTATTGATTGTCCCACATTGCTTTCTTTTGTAAGCTTTCATTTTTATTTTAATATGCCATATAGACAATGCAAATATGAAGATCACTGGCACCTTAATGATTTCTAAAATAAATACTAGCACTGGCAATACTATGTTGTGTCCTGTTTATTTTCATTTCATAGTACATCACATTACTTATTATAGTATTATTATTATTATATTAATATAAATAAAATTATATATGGTTTAGAGACAGTAGCAATAGGCAGAAGACAGGAGACGG